TGTTATACCCAGTGAATACACAGTGATTTATCCATTAGGGCGCGTTCAGACTACCGTGAACCCCGTCAAACCGTGAATGCCGATAAACCGTGAAGGACATTCACACTATTATTATTATTATTACTTGCATGTACGCGTTGGAGTCAACCATGCAAGCATGATCCACAACTTCGCTTATGCTGAACATGATAAACAGGACTATGACAGGGGAAAAAATGAGCTAGAACGATGATAATAATAATTATGATACTTATATCATATATATTATATACAATGTAGCTCATGGGTATTGAAGATATGTCATTTATGAATATGTCCATAATATGAATATTGCAGCCTGAGTGATAATGATAGTGCTATTTCCTGAGTTTGACTGTTTCAGGATCTGTCGGAATATCACAATGCATTCACACTACCGATAACAAACTAACGTTACCGTGAAGTTTTCAGCTCTCACCGCGGCACTGACAAGGGATTTTCCCTTTTTTTCGCAGCGCGCATGCAGCCTGAGCACTTTTTTACTGCCGATAAAAGTTTACTGCCGCAGCAGCCGCGGCAGTAAAACTTTCCCACCGGTAACGTGCCGGTAACGTCACGTGATCTAATCACCTTGGCGACTTTCCCAATCGGTCACTTTTTATCGGTAGTCTGAACGCGCCCTAACAGTTATGAAAACTAGTTCTTCTAAAGCGAAAGTTTGTCTTATCAGTGTTCTTCTTAACGAGCTTTCACTGTATGTAGGCGGCAGATACAAATTCAAGTAGAAGCGGTGGACATTGGGTGAATTCGAGGTGGACATTGGGTGAATTCCAGGTGGACATTGGGTGAATTCCAGGTGGACATTGGGTGAATTCGAGGTGGACATTGGGTGAATTCCAGGTGAACATTGGATGAATTCGAGGTGGACATTGGATGAATTCGAGGTGGACATTGGATGAATTCCAGGTGAACATTGGATGAATTCCAGGTGGACATTGGGTGGCTATAGGTCATTACAGGATGAAGAAAAAAAGCCTCAAAAGTATACAGATGAATAATAATAATATCCCCCTTTGCTGAAGGCACAGTTTGAGCTTTGTCCAGCAGCCATTCATTTGATTATTCAGTCTTTCATTGGCAAGTATAACAGCAGTCCACCAATCATGCACCTCACTCTCAGGCATGTGCCAACAAAGAAAATTCATGTGTGAGCAGAATTAGAATTATGAATACAGGTGGAGAAGTGAAATCCAAGCATACTCTATTGCTGCATGTACATCAACGATGAGTCATCACTGTTCGGGCGATGTTCCTTGCAGGAAAATCCCCGTCCGTGGTGTTGTAATCACTCAGTCAGCGGACCATGATTGTGTACATGAGCAAGCAGCATCGTATATGTGACTTTTAAGACTGAAATGCACGGGAGTGACTCTCTGCTTTACATAACCCTGTCACCGCTAAGGACGTATATTTACGTCCTTGAGAATGACGTGTGAATAAGTGGCCATGCACTGTATAATTATGCTCCTGGGGGAAAAAATACAAATTACCTAGCGTTAAACAGGTGAGGCCAGTAGGAAGAAAAAACCCCGGCAAGCATAGCCATGCTCCGATTGATGAAAATCTCACATGATTTGAGCTTGAAGAAAATAGGAATGCGCTTGGCAGCAATGTGTTACACAAATACATGCACGTGGACTGCTGCGACCGGCAACTCTGGCGTGCATTGCAAAGGCCTTGAGTTGCTGGCCGTGTGCAGCTCATGGCCACTCCAGCACATCAGGGTTAAAGTTGCCGTGTATGGTGCTGTGGATTTCTATATTGGTATGTGAGTCTTGAAACATGCAAGTTCAAACACGATGCACTCCGGGAATACCCTGTGCTCCGAATGCACTCGCCGAACATCGGCATCAGGATACGAGGCCAGTGGCTGCTCACATTGGTGCTTACGATCAGGTGTTTGATTGTGCTTGTTTCATTGGTGCTTATGATCAGGTGTTTGATGGAAAGCTCGGCAGTGCTGATGTCGACTTGCGACAACTGATGGTTCCTCCGTGCCAAATCGCCCCAGAGTTCGAATGGCGTGTATACGGAGCTGCCGGGTGGAATGGTGTAGCACGGTAGTGCAACCATCGATGCAACACCGTGTGCTCTTTGGGCATAGTGTACACTAGAGCATGAACTAGGCTGCCATGGGTCAGTCAGTCTCTGTGGATCAGCATTCATTACTTGTCGCTGGTCCTTAAAAATCAATCGTAGATCGGATCCGACCTGCTGTGTACTATGCCATTGTTGGTGGTGGTCAGTCCGTTACATGCGTCATAACCAATCTCTGATGTCAGGCCATCACCACCGCCAGCACCACCAGCGCCGAATTGATCATAGCCGATTCCCGGATTAACAGGTGATCCCGTGCCAAATTCATCGTATTTGCCACCAACGCCAGCGCCGAATTGATTATAGCCGATTCCCGGATTAACAGGTGATCCCGTGCCAAATTCATCGTATTTGCCACCACCGCCAGCGCCGAATTGATCATAGCCGACTCCCGGATTCAGTGTTGACCCCGTGCTGAACTGGTCGTACCCTTCAACGGGATTCTGATTGCCGTGCCCACCGGCACATTCTGAGGCATTGGACAGATCGTGATCACACTCCGATTGAAGGCCGAGGTGAGATCCAATCGTACTTGACCTTGTTCGGGTTATTGCACCGTCATCCGGAAGCAAAGTGCTTCGCCGTTTGCCGCCGGCATTGTTAACGAGCTTCAGGGCATCGGCTGGCCGAAGGTAGGTATCATCTTCCGGCATTTTGTCTTGCCGTCCTGCTAATACTTCCTTCTCCTCCTCTGCCATCGTTTTAGTGTACCTCGAGGTCAACGTGGACACATTAGACAGCATTGTCCTGGAAAGCATGTGGGAGATTGCGACTGGTTTCCGCGTCCGTTTTGAGTGGCAGATGATGATGAGCAAAAGCGCGCTAATCACGGCGAGGCCACCCAGAGCGCTGGGCAGGATAACGGCCACACCTTTACTGCCCTCGATCTTCGACACTGCAGAGGATATACGCGACATAGATGTGCATGCAAGCCCGCGCGCACACACACACACACACACACACACACACACACACACATGCGTGCACACACGCACACACACGCACACACACACACACACACACACACACACACACACACACACACACACACACACACACACACACACACACACACACACACACATACACACACACACACACACACACACACACAAAGACACACACACACACACAAGCTTGCACAACACGCACACCCACACATGCATGCATGTACACATACACAAACACACACACACACACACACACACACACACACACACACACACACACACACACACACACACACATACTTAGACACCCAACGCACCCAGCCAGAAGGGGTGGGGGAGGGGGTGTGGAACAAAAGCCCCAATTTATCTCGGACGATGAATCGGGTTCTGCTGGAAATCCAAGCATTCTGATCCATTTACAGGTCACTGCATCACACTTCCATGCCTGTCAACCTTTGCAAACCGGAGAATGGGGCAAAGACATATTATAATAGGTGTGAAAATGTATGTATTACACATGTAGCTGGGAGGCACGTGACAAATACACGTTTGGGTGCCTATTACCACCCTCGATATCGGGACTGTCCCGGCCAAACATCAACGTAGAAGATTTTGGTGACTTCCCCAGCCCCATCAGTGGAGTCTCGACTGATGCTTGTGCTCGCAAACATACACCCACGCATGCATGCTTAACAATTTCAAGTAGAATTACCTTCGCACACTGCACTACCAGTCCACACGCCATAATGTTCATTGACTGCTATGCAAGAGAATTGACGATGACCAGCCGCTCTGTAACCGTCTTCACAAATGATCTCTGCGATTGCCCTGACGTTATTGCCGTTGATGACCTCTAGAGAACCATGCTGGATCTCGGCAGTTCGGCAGAACTCTTCTCTCACTGGGAGCACACATGCATGCATGCACACGCACGTGCACATATACACACACACGTACACACACGTACGCATGTACACACATATACCCAAAAACACACATGTAAACACACACACACACGTACATGCACACACACAAACACACACACACACACATACACACACACATACACCATTGGACCATTGGACGCCCCTCGCCGGAGGCGATGATAGCGATGCTACAGCAGAAGCCATAGCAGCTTGTGCTGGGATTGCACCATTCAACAGCTTGCAAGGATGAAGAATTGACCGCCACTATTCAGCCTGGTCTACACCACATAGCTATGAAGTGGCTTTTCTGGCCTGTGAGTCCCTACTTTTCGGTCTTTTTCATTTTTTTCACGCCCACACATCACAACACACACTCCGGCATGCACTGGCTGTTGGTAACCACCCAGGAGAATGAAAGAAAAGTCAGGAGGAGTCTGAGAAAGAGAAGAAAGACGTGTGTGACCATAATCGTCGGGAATCGAACCCGCAACCTATCGATTGGAAATCGCTGCACATACCACTCACCATATGGGACACACACACACACACACACACACACACACACACACACACACACACACACACACACACACACACACACACACACACACACACACACACACACACAGATGCAGATACATACACATTTGAAATCGGAAGGGTCATGACAGTTGCTACTTTCACCGGATGGACACATCTCCATCGTCAACATGTAGAAACACCAATAATTTCTAGTATTACAGTACCTCATCTTATTCATTCATGCTACACGTTGTGAAATACGGGAAACTTTAAAAGATGTGGGCAACTCCAAAAAAGAAGAATGGAAAACATGCAATGGCTCAAGGTTCCCTACCTCCCCCCTGAAAAGGAGAGCCCTTTTCCATGCCCCATCTCATTCTTACATTGACATGTGCTGCTGTCGTTCCACACTCCTTCCATTTGCCCGGCCTCCATGCATATGGGCTCGGACACCGACTTGTAACCATGGCTACAAGAGAACGTTGCCACGGAGCCAAGCTCCCGTTCATTTGAAAAGGATACCCGTCCAGCGCCACTGGCTATGCTGATCTCCGGACAGTAGGCACGATTCACTGTGTAGAGAAACATACCAAAAAAAGAAGGAAAAGGGAGATGGACATTTTCGTCTCCTTCCAAAACCACGACGAGAGCTAACAGCTAACACCTGGAATACTCCGGAAAATGTGTAGTAGTTTCAAATTTGGACTTCACGGAATTTCAAAGTTTTAGGAAATTGGAGGCCACATGCCACAAATAGTAGAACGATACAATTGATTAGTTCGAGGGAAATGAAAGAGAAGATTGGTTAGCAACTAAAATATTATGAGACAGTAACATTGTGGAACCTCTCTTCTCCAGACTACCCATTCCGCCAACTCCCATATCTGGGCCCTTCCCTCAAGGAAGCACCCTGCAGGCTATAATAATTGTCCCCCCCCCCCCCACACACACACTCCACATCTACGTCCTTGGACAGAGTGCACAAGAGATGCGTGGATATGTTTAAACAGCTGCGGAAAATGTCCAGTGGCGACATGTCGGCGCTGCTCTACAGACATCCCGTGCAGCCAGTTATGTACATGTACATGAGTCATTTCCCTTGTCTGTTTTCACCACCCTCTCATCCCATCTACCTCTCCAGGCAACCCCCTTGATATAAAGTATCCATTTTACTTATGGAGAATCCTTCAAATAAAGTCTGAATGAATGAATGAATGAATGAAAAAAAGAAAGAAAACAACATGCTGTGTTTAAAAAATAAAAATTAAAAGTTAGCCGGATTTGCGGCCGCATCACCTGCCGTGTTGAGGAACACATCTGTGTTTAACTAGTGAACAAAAGAACTAGACTGTGTTCATTTGCAAAGTACGGATGCGTGACGCCACAGATAACTGAAGCGCGGATATGCTGAGAGTGTAACATGATAGAATTGGTGATATACATAACTATTGTGAAAGTACAGGGCTCACCTGTGCATTCGAGCGCACGACTCCACGCTCCAGTTCTGGCAAGTCCATTTGCTATGCACGTCGGGTGTTTACTAGAGGACGGGATAAAACCCGCTTGACACTCCAGGGTGGCATGATCGCCAATCGTGCGGTTCCTCGAGTAGGTGAAGTTTCCGAGTTGGTCCTCCAGTGGGGGGCAAAAGTTGTGAATATCTGTGAACGGAAGGACACAAGTTCAGATCCAAGAGCAGCGGTCACTATGTATTACTCGAAGTAACGCGTTTGCTATAGGCGCATACCCGAGGTCATTGATATTCTAACGATGTAAGTGTAGTGTATACATTCAATTGATAGAACACTTTGCAACCTACAGGAGTCCTGCAAAATAGGGCGCTTGCAACAGTTCATTGACTGTGTGGCCTTGTGCGTGACCCTGCTACTCTGGCACTGTGACCCGGATTCAAAATGTGCACGTATGGTAATGTTATCATTATTACAGTCACGAAAATGAGAAGTTCTTTCCATACTCTCTCCTTGTCCATTCACACACTCCTTACACTCACCTACCCAGTTTATCAATACATTTCACAAACTTCAGTACGCGTATTGCCGATTGTGAGTACACTCAAACGTCTCTTATCCGGGCGCATTGGGACCGGGCACTGTCCGTATCTCAGATTTGCCCGTATCTCATCTACCATGCACCACATCAGTCTTTGATTTTGAAGAAGTTTATTTGTATGTGTTCAGGATAAAAAATAACCCTTCGATGAAAATGTGTGGATTACACAGGCTGGCAGTGAAAAATTAATAAGCACTTGCGCATATGGAAAATAAATTCAAACCTCCCAAAATCGAAGCACTTTCGCCATAGGAGCCCAAGCCGAAGGTGTCCGGTAGAGAGACGTGCCCGTACCTGAGGCGTCCGGATAAGAGACGTTTGAGTGTACACAATCACGTTAGGTGTCGTCCGGGGTTACCAATTGTTTTTGAAAAAACGAAAAGTTTTAGTATTAAATTTCAACCCCCACCCACCCACCCACCCTTTCTGCAGGTAACACGCGATCCAACAAAATATTGATTTCAATCTTCGGCACCCAGAAATAACTGGGCATTCTTCATGTACATTCGAAAATTATTTTCAAAACGAAACTCCTATAACCCACCCACCCACAAACGAAAACATTTCGTTTTGAAAATACTATAGGTAACCTTGGATGGCCCCTTGCTGTACGTGTATGTGCTCCCTATATTGTTTGGACTTAAAACTGCCTGCTTTGGGTAAGTTCTCATAGCAGGATGAAATTTCTCTGATGAGTGTGTCACAAAAAGGTTTTAGTCGTTTTTGAAACTGGTAGTTTTATATACGAGCCCGAGCGCGCTAAAACATGACCACAGCTTTTTTTGAAAGAGTCGAGATAATCGCGATTTGAATTCCGCGGCAAAAAATACGAAGTGCAGTGCAACGCGAGTCGCTGTTGTTGTTCTCCTCGGTCGACTGGACTGTTCCGGATGCAATTCTTTGTTGCAAGTAAGTTTATTTGTTTGAGTTTGTATTCGTGTTGCGCTGAGTTGCCTAAAACTGATCGTCATCGATGTATCGACAGAAGAGCCTAGTAGTAATGTACTGCGGAGCGGAAGAAGACGACATCATCGCACTCCATGCGCAGGATAAAATATTTTGAGGATTCGGGTCGGAAACAGAAGGAAGACGATGATGGCTACAATGACGAGTCATTTGAGGGCGACACTTTCATCGAGCGTAAAAAGAATTGATGCTGGTAGTCCCACGATCTGCAGTGACGAGGAATTCTACTCTGATGACAACCTGGCAAGCGATTGGCATCGACACTGACTTGGGAGGTGAGTCGGCCGATGATTTGGCCAGAATGGACATCGCTGCACATATCCGGGACAATGCCAGTATTGGTTGCAAGTGCAAAAACAATCAATGGACTCTGCTGCTCCCTCAACTTGCTCAAGTCAATAATTTGAGTACCCTTATGCGGAACATCGCTAGCATGAGCAGCATGCAGCGAAAGCAGTACTCTCTGGCGAGCGGAGAAAATCGTGTGCAGATGGGCT